GAAGCTCTCCCACTCTTGTCCCTCAAGCACCAAGAATACAGAGCATCATTGCCCCAGACAGAGTGTTCCATCTATACCTTGTGGCTAAGAGCCACTGATGGACCTCTGCTCCATACGTTTATCTTCCTCAGGCTCCACCCCCTCCCCCCCAAAAAAAATCTCCAGGTAATTCCCAGCCTGGAGCTGGAAACCCTAACTGGCAGGTTTCAGCCATTCTGAAATTATGAGTATTCAGTATATGACTATATCGTCTTCTGGGCATGGAGCAGGGGTCACTGGCAGTGTGGAGGGGGTAGCTGTGAATTCCCTGCATTGTTCAGGGGACTAGATGCACTTTCAATCCACTTTTGATGAGCTTTCCAATTGGATTTTGCCAGTTCACACAATAAAATCCAGTTGGAAAGTGCACTGAAAATGGAGTGAAAGTGCATTATTTAGTGAGTGTGATCGCAGCCTTAGTGTTATAAAGACAAGTGATGATTTTTAAAATGGTGAAAAGCCTGCCATGAGGGCGGGGATTGTGGTCAGCAGAGAAAATAGTGCCACCTACAGCGCTGGATGTGGGCGAGGAGGTGCAGAAATACTCTCCTCCTTCCCATCTTTGCCTTCCCCAAACTTCCTTTCAGACCCCTATCTGGTTGTTCTACTTGCAGACCAACACGGCTACCCTCTGAACCTATCTTCATGGGAGGCACCACATCCAGCTGCCTGGAGTGGAAATCCATCGACCCCACGAACAGAAGAGAACATAAGAGAAGCCAATGTTGGATCAGGCCAATGGCCCATCCAGTCCAACACTCTGTCACACAGTGGCCAAAAATACCAGGTGTCATCAGAAGGTCCAGCAGTGGGGCCAGGTCAGTGGAAGCCCTCCCACTGTTGACCCCCCCTCAAGCACCAAGAATACAAAGCATCACTTGCCCCAGACTGAGAGTTCCTATCTATACCTTGTGGCTAATAGCCACTGATGGACCTCTTTCTTACCAAACACAAAATATGGGACACCAGGGGTCCTTTTGTAGAAAAACAGGTGCAGGAGCTCATTAGCATAACTTATTAGCATAACTTATTTGCATAGGCCGCACCCCCTGACATCACCGGAAGTGTTTCAGAAGGCATCACCCACTGCAACTTACCTGGCTGCTTCTTGCTCCTCGTGGCCTGGGGCTGCTGGGAGCAGGGGGCGGGGCTTCTTGCATGTGCCTGCCCCCTGGGCTCTTTACTGCCGGAGCGCCGCTCCTGTGTGCTCCTGCAGGAAATGACCCCTGTGGGACACTATACCTAAAGGAGCAAGAATTTAAAATCCACTACAAACCACGTATCCTTCCAACTATGGGGAAGATTTGAGCCATGTTTTCTCCACGAAACTGTTTAAACATCTGATCAGCATCCTACATTGCAAGCAGACAAAGAGCAACAAGAAGCTCTCTGAACTGGACTTTTCCATAAGAAACCAACCCGTTTACTGGGACTTTTGCCAAAAAAAGCAAGCTGTCAACAGCTCACAACTCATCTCCCTGAAGAAACAGAGATAGAAGAAACTTCCCAGCATCTTGCATGTCAGAAGCCACAACAACAATTCCTGCAATATTGTCAACCTCTCACAATGCACCCTGGCAGAGGAGTCCGTTCCTTCTAGAGGACTATCCTTCTGCCCCACTTAACCCAGACAGACGACACAGCATCTACCCTGAAAGTCTTGTTGGTCGCTAAGGTGCCACTGGACTCAAATCCATCCGTTCCTTTCAGTATGACCTTTCAGGAAAGATAGTACCAAAGCTGATTTTGGGAAAACTTAAGTGAAGCTGGAGAAAACCCAGAGCATGGCAGAAGACAACATTAAATCGGTGATGGATCAAGAAGATCCGAAGAAGTGAGCAGTGACTCATGAAAGCTCCTACCCTGCCACAAGTTTCATTAGTCTTCAAGGTGCTACTGGACTCTTTCTCTTTTCTATTAAATCTGTGGCTTAGGAGGGAATGAAGAGCAAGAGTTCTGTGGGGTGGCAACTTTGCTATAACTTGCTTCATATACATGATTACAGTGGTAGTGATCCATGTGCCAAGTTCCTCTTACAACTGCATTATGGAACCAGTGCAGCCGGACAGCCGTTTTCAGTGACCGGTCTACAGTCAGTGTAACGTGTGCATGAGCTACAAGGTTACAAATGAATGGGAGTTTTATAACTTTACTAGTGTGTGGCATTGTAAAGGGACCTTGGCGACCAGTAAGAAGAGTTCTAGGACTGTGGTGCGGGGCTCTGTTAAATACGAAGCACAATGACAAATGGGCACGGAGTGAGTGTAACAGCATGCACTAAGCCATAAGGAAGGCCGAGCGCTGAAGAATAGATTCTTGTAAAGTGAGTTATAACACCAAGGGTATCTGGGAATGAACGGGAGAATTGGAAATAAAGTTAGAAGTTGAAAGTTACACTTTATTATTTATCCTACAAATCAGAGGTCGATTCGGGGGGGGATCGCGGGGGCTTGCAGTTCCCCCGGGTGAGGTGCAGGGGGGCGGGGCACACGACAAAGCCCCGCCCCCTTCTTCCCGCCGCCCCCTGCTTCCAGCCTCATTCTGTTGCAGAAGGAGGAAGAAGCAGGAGGGTAAGTTGGCGTCCTCCCCCTCTGCCTGGCCGAGGCCACTCCACATGGCCTCCGCAAGGACTCCCAGCCCCATCCAGGAGCTTCCCCGAGGTAGCTGTGTTAGTCTGTTGCTGCAAAATAGCCCAAGAGTTCAAATAGCACCTTTAAGACTAACAAATAGCACCTTTAAGACTAACCTTTAAGACTAAGACTGAGTGGTGGGTGTGGCCTTATGACACACTTCCAGTGATGGCAGGGGGTGTGGCGTATGCTAATGAGTTATGCTAATGAGTTCCCCTAGCTCTTTTTCTACGAAACGACCCCTGCTACAAATACATCTTGTTACTTAGACTTTGAATTAAATGTGTACTGCTTAATCTATGTTCAGTGGAAGCGATCCACTTAACTAGAGACCAGAAACATGTTACCGCTTCTACTGTAATCGTATGGATTATCCATGTATAATGCTGTATGTTGATAATGTTGTATGTGTTTACACTTCAATAAAACTTTAAATAAAAAAAACAATTCTTTTGAATTATGGTGCTGGAGGAGACTCTTGAGAGTCCCTTGGACTGCAAGGAGATCAAATCAGTCAATCCTAAAAGAAATCAACCCTGACTGTTCCCTGGAAGGCCAGATACTGAAGCTGAAGCTCAAATACTTTGGCCACCAGATGAGAAGGGAGCACTCGCTGGAGAAGACCCTGATGCTGGGAAAGACTGAAGGTCAAAGAAGACAGGGACGGCCAAGGATGAGATGGTTAGACAGTGTTATCGATGCAACGAACATGAAGTTGAGCAAACTCTGGAGCATGCCGGAAGACAGGAAGGCCAGGTGTGATGTGGTCCATGGGGTCGCGAAGAGTCGGACTCGACTGTGTGACTGAACAACAAACACTGGTGGTTCTGTTTGCACTGTTTTCACTGGTGATGCCCAAATCACCTTTCTGTGTTAAATGTCTGGGCCACTTTAATATGGTCAAGAATACGGAGGTGAGGCATTTGTAATGCAAGTGAGCTTGCTAGCCAACACAGGTGTGACGTTCCTGTTATAAATACAACTGGGCTGAGTTTAAGGTATTGGCTACTGCATGCAAAGCCCTTCAGGGCCTTAGCCCCTCTTATTTGTGGGACCGTCTCTCTCCCTATGCTCCAACATGACAAATTCCCCCAAGTCAGCAGAGGCCAACCTGCAAATGGGCAAGATCAACAACTGCCCATACATGTGCTTTCTCTGTTGTGGCCCCCGCCTTGTGGAAGTCAGGAGAGCTCCCACCCACCTGGCTTCCTGCGAACTATGCAAAACGGAACTATTTCAGAGGGCCTTTCTGTGCAGGTAAAAGTGTTGCCCTGTACAAAACTGTTTTACAAACTTGCTTGGATAAATTATTGAGACTGTGGTCTACATGGCTGCATATAGCTTGCTGTAAGCTAGGAGACTAGTATGTCATTTCTGTACCGTTTAATGTGTCATGTTAATACTTACATGCTTCAGTTCTTTCCAGTGGTTCTAGACTTCTAAAAAGACTAATGCATCGGTTATGGGATGGCCCATTTTGTTGACTGTCTTGACTCACTCTGCGTAATCCGCCTTGAGTCTCTGTGAGAAAGGCAAACTATAAATCATGTAGATTCAGGTGTTGGTCAGAAGCAGCAGAACAAAATTTGAGTCCACTGGCACCTATGAGACCAACGTGTCTGAAGAAGTGTGTTTTGCACACGAAAGCTTACACTTTGAATAAAACTTTGTTGGTCTCAAAGGTGCCACTCAAAATTTGTTCTATAAATAATGCAAATAAATAATGTTTAAAAAATGAATAAAGAGCTTGTTTAGGCGGTGTGTAAATACATCCACACTGAAAGCACTGTTTGACCGCTATACCTCCAGATGGTATTTCCAATAAGATTAGTTGGAAAGTAAAAAAGAATATTCCCAAATTAGAAGACAATCTGAATTTTAATATCACCATATTCTTTGATATTTATATACATATACACATACAGCCACACACAAAAATAATGTAATAAAAGCTAAAGCTTTACTCCATTCCCATTGCAGAAAATTTAAAAATGAATAATATGAAGGAATAAAAATGTACAAAGTAACTTCCTCCTTTAAAAAAACAAACACACTGAACATGATCGCTTGTGCATTCCTCAGGAGAAATTCAATCAGGCCTATTACAAAACATCTCTTAGGGCACATATTGGTCGTGATTTATTTTAAAAAAAGTTGTAATCAAAAAAAAAATTGCCATATGGACACTGTGCAGCAGTTGCAGACATGAACGGGTAGGTTTGTGAAGTGGAGCAGAGGTTGTAATATTCTGGCACCCCAAAATCCCGACCAAAAAATAAAAGTTAAAAACCCCACAAATAAATTTTTGAAATGCACATATTTAAAAAAATCTCTACAAATGAAAGAGAGGCAGAGAGGGGTGGGTGGGGGAAAGATGTTTCACTTTTTGTGAAAGAGAAGAGGTTTCACCATTCCCGCGAGAATCTTGGGCAATTGTGCTGCGATGACTTCTGACATCATTTCTGGAAATTCAACGCTCAGTGCCCGCGACTGGAGAAATGTGTTCAGACAGTAGAGGTGCAGCTGCTTCACAAGCTGTGGGTTTAAAAAAAAAAAGTAGAAGAAGTTACGCCAACTCTGCCACACAACAAGATGCTCCCCAGTCACCACTCGACCAGGCTTAGCCCTCACATAAGTGTCTTCTTTCTGGCCATAGCAAGAAGCGACCATGTAATTAACAGCTTCATTCTTTTCCAAGGCACTGTGTCACAGAACCATAGAAGAACATAGTTTGGTGGCTACCATGTCACCTCAGGCATGTGAGAACTGGCCAGACAAGGCCTCTATGGTGGGTGTGAGGATTCATATAGCAAGGCCTAAATCTCTCAATTTTTAAAAAACATATGCTTCTACTAAGGTTTGAGAAACAGAAATCTCAGTAAGTTGCAGTGCTCCTAAACAACAGGGATGGCTTTAAAGAAAAACTAATAAGCAGCCTGAACTTCCCTTCCCACATCACCAGGAAGAATACGGGGCATAATGGAGTTCTTTCTATCAATCTATCTGTCAAACCTTTCCCCTGTTTTTTTCCCAAGGCGTTCAGGGTGGTCTTCATGGTTGTCTCATGACACCCCTGAGAGGTAGGGTACCCTGAGAGAGGGCTCCTGACCAAAAATCGCAAAGCAAGTTCCCTGACACCCATGGGTATCTGAATCAGGACCTTCCCGTTCCTAGTCTGGTCCTCTCACGACAAAACTCTGGCTCTTTCGTCCCTCCCCTGTCTTTTCTGGCCTCAGCGGTGTCCATGTAAGACCAAGTACACTGCAACATCCCCTAGTAGCAGTGTGTTTATTTAACGTATTTGTGTCTTGCCATTCCTATGGAAAGGGTAGCTTACAGAAAAAAATATAAAATCCATTTCCACAAACAATTTCAATGGTTAAAACCTCATAAATGACATAGTACAATGTAGAATAATATCAACATTACCCCCAAAAAAGGCAGGACTCAAATAACATTCCATAAAATACCTCACCACTCACTAACTTCTTTGTTAAGCGCACGACTTAACATACCTCACCACTCACTAGAGGTCTGGAGTGGTGGAAAATGCTACTGCAGTTGACTAATGGAGACCACATAGTCAAGGCAAGAGAAGAAGAGGAAGAGAAGAGATTGGATTTATACCCCGCCCTTCACTCGGAGTCTCAGAGCGGTTTGCAAACTCCTTTCCCTTCCCCTCCCCATAACAAACACCCTGTGAGGTAGGTGGGGCTGAGAGAGCTTTGACAGAAACTGCTCTTTCAAGGACAGCTCTTATCAGAACTATGGCTTGCCCAAGGTCATCCAGCAGCTGCAAGTGGAGGCGTGGGGAATCAAACCCGGTTCTCCCAGATTAAAGTCCTTAACCACTACACCAAACTGGTCAGTGGTTTGCCATTGCCAGACTCTGTGAATGAACCCTGGAATTCCTTGGTGGTCTCCCCTTTAAGTATTAACCAGGGACCACCTATACAATAAGGATTTCCTCTACTAGGAGCTGGTTCCATGAGGCAGAAGCAACCCCAGATGTCAACTGATGTAGATCCTGTGTCCAATGTATCCCCAGGGCCCACCACATGCAAGCTCCAAGCTTGTACACACGGGCCTAAAGAGATGGAGCATACTGAAACCGTAGCTGGCCCAGTGTGCCATGGAGTGCTTCTGATAAACAAACAGCCCTGTGAGCTGCTCATACAGGACTGGATGGATTAAGCCCAACAATGTTAAGGCCAAGTACAGAATGAACTTACATCATGCATGGAGTCCATCAATTTAGTAAGCTGGTAGAATCGCTGTGAACTGGCTACCACTCCCTTCTGCCGCAACCCGATCGCCTTGACCAGCTCTCTGATGTAGCTCGATCTCATTTCCTCAAACTGGTTTTGACTTCGGAGACCTTCCAAAGGAACTACAAAGGAAAACAGTACTTGCCAGTACTTCAAGGGTTACACTGGCCACCAATTTATCCCAGGCTTGATTCAAAACTCTGGTTCTTACCTGTAAAGCCCTAAGCAGGCTGGAACTGGGGCACTTAAAGGGCCAAGTACACTAATTTTGAACCTGCCTATCATAACGTAAGAAAAGCCCTGCTGGATCAGACCAATGGTCCAGCTAGTCCAGCATCCTGTCTCCCATAGTGGCCAACTAGGTACTCTGGACGGCCAACAACAGGGCATAGTGGTCAAGGCCTTCCCGTGATGTTGCTTCCTAGTGCTAGAATTCAGAGGTACCCCATCTCCGGATGTGGAGGGTCCCTTCAGCCACCATACCAGTAGCCATGGATGGGCCTATTCTCCATGAATTTGTCTACCCCTTTTTAAAGCCATCTGTCCTTGTGGCCATTACTGCATCCTGTGGCAGTGAATTCCTCATTATAATCACTCACTGAGTAAAGAAGTACTTCCTTTTTTGTCCATCCTGAATTTTTCTCAGAGGTCCTACTCTGTGTCCTGTTCACCTTCAAAGGTGACATGGGTTGCCACTAAGGACAGGTCCATCTCACTTTTGGAATATTTTCCCTGTACCCCTCTGACAGTAAATTTGATGATCTTTTGGTACCGGCCTAAGATTCTTCTGCCGACCCGTACATTTTTGAGACAGTTAAAGCATTCTGTTTCATTACGTGCAGTTCTTCTTTGCTGTCTTTTTACGACTAGTCTGTGCGGCTTCTGTTTTACAGCCGACAGCCTTGTAATTTTGCTACCCTTGCTGTTTTACAGACAGTTTCCGTTTCACCTAACTTGTTTTACTTACTTGATATTACTGCTGGATACGATTCCAATTTTATTGGCATTGCCATGGGCTGTATCTGATTACGCCTGATTTTGTTATTTTTTTGGATTTTTTAAAATGAGTCTGGTATAAATTTTTGGATTTTTTAAATTGAGTCTAGTATAAAAATTTATCACATACATAAATACATTTGAAACCAGAGGCTGGAGTCAGTATCAAAACCCTGGTTAACAGCAGGTGCTGGTTACCATCAGCCATCATCAAGATCAGGGCAACAATTTTTTATTTTTTACATTTTACATAATAACCCTTAACCAAGGCTAAAATGAGTGGAAGAATTTGTATACATGATGGGAAAGAAAGCACGAGCTTAAACGCTGCTCAAAATTCCATTATTAAGGATGCTCTGCATGGATTGAGCGATTAATAAATGGAAAGATTATTATTATTATGAAAAGTCAGGAGCATTCACCCTTAGGACTTGGTTCAGTTAACAGTAAACCATGATTTGCCCATTTGTGCTCAAGCAATGAGGAAGTTAGATCATCCACCTCCTCATCTCCCATCTTGCATGTCCAACAGCATTTCCTCTTCCTCAGTGCCATCATGTGCGAATTGGGTAAACCACGGTTTGCTCGCAATTGCAAACTGAGAACTATGGTTCAATCACAGGTCCTGGTTTTTGTTTGTGCAAGCCATGGTTTGCTGCCAATCTGCAAAGAAAGAAGTGTTGGGGGCAGAAGGGGAAGAGAGATGGAAAATGGAGCCTGGTATGGACTGGCTTTTTTCCTGTTGCCCTAACAACAGTATTGAAGAACTGAGAACCAGCCCTGTGTTTACAAGTCTATTGTAGGAAGTACAGAAAGGAGAAGAAGGAAAAGGCAAGTGATTCAAGTTTCTAAGTATCACATTTTTATTCTGCCCTTTCCCCCAAGGACCTCAGGGTTCTTCCTTTCTCACAGACCACAGCTGCTCACAAAAGAAACACAGATGACTTAGATTAGATAATATTGGTTTCATCAAGCCACATCCCATACAACAGGGTTCCACATGGTTAACCACCTGCACATGGCCCATTAGAACAAGACAGCCTTCTATGGTTTCCATAAACAGGATGAAGTAGGAATACTCATAACCTTGAGGAGGGCATTCTAGAAAGCTGAGGCCACCACCAAGAGAAAAGCAGGTCTAAAAAGTGGCTAGGGTTCCCAAGTACTGTGGAATGTGATATACAATCACTGAGGAGGAATATACAATGTACAATCTGATAGGAATTATACAATAACGAAGATCCCGGGTATGCATTTTGTTTCGAGTAGCTTCTTCTTCAGAGAGAAAGATATATACATGCACATTTGTAGTGTCTATATCTCTGGGACTATATTAAAGTCTTTATGAAAATTCTTGTGTTCAGACTTCTCTATAAGAATTTCACAACAATCTATTCATATAATACCATTTACAGATGGGCAACCCATCACAGTTTTAAACACAGAATCCTTTAGCGTTACAAAGCTGGTATAGGCTAATCCTGTCAGCTTGTACATTGTATATTCCTTGTCAGCGATCATATATCACATTTATTGAATTGTATTGCCATACTTTTTGGATTTTCCTTTACAATATATATTTGAATTTTCTTAATAATTGATAATATTGGATTAGCGTCCTATTCCACAGCTTTTTTGTTCTTGTTTATGTTATTGCTGGGAAGTCTCTTTTCCTGTTTATATAACCCATAAGAACACCGCAGAGGATCTCTGCCATAGACATTACACTACACCATCTTCTGTCGTCACACAGAACAGTGGAGCTTGCAGGCATCCATCTTCAGCTAACAGTGGTTCTTTTATGTCCCTGAAGTTACAGCTTTAGGCCTTGTATGTTATCAAAAATCCAGCTTTCTGATTTTCATCCAGGCAGAGAGCGGTTGAGGAATAGACGACGTTACACTTACTTGTACTGAGGAGAAGTAAGGCTTTCATGCAGAGAAACTCCTCCTGAGAGACTTGGAGCTTGACAAACTCCTGGGGGATCTGCCACATAGACAGGCACTGTGAATAGAATGACGATTCCTTCATCCTCTGTCTTACACCCAAAAAAAGAAAAGAGACAAAAGGTAAAAGAAATAAATACTGACTCCATGAGGGGGGTAGCCACTTTCAATCAAGGTGATGGAAAACACATCCCCTTCCATTGTTTGGGTGGGAAGAAGGAGAGTAAGGTTTTATACCCCACTTTTTGCTACCTTTAGGAATCTTGAAGCAGCTTACAATCACATTCCCTTGCCTCCGCAAAACAGACACCTTGTGAGATATTTGGGGCTGAGAGAGTTCTGAGAGAACTCTGGTTTTAATGATGTAATTTTGTTGGATTTAACCTTTTTTTAAGATGCAATTTTATTACGTATGTTTTAATTTGTAATCTGCCTTGGTTGCCCTTATGAGGGCATAAAGATAAGGTATAGATTCTGTAAAATAAAATAGAAATAAACAAATGCATTTTTTGTGGTGCAACAGTTTTTACTCTGCAACAGTCAAGACTGATTTTTAAAAAATCAGGAACTGTGCAAATGCCACCTGAATTAGGTCTTCATGAATATCTTTATTATAAAGTGCAGATTACAAGACGTTTTTATTTCTCCAGGCTTTCTGCTGATTTTTTTGGTTGCCTTGCCCTCGCCCTCAACTGACTATTTTTATCTTTTCCTACATTTGTTTTATGGGAAAACCGGGCTGGTTTTATTGTCAACTTTTATTGCTGCTTTTATAAGGTAACACAATTGCCTTTCACGGTTAGTCCGTACTGATGATCTCCCGCCACTGGGTTTTTATTACTAATCACTGTCTTCTTGTTTAAAGCCGAATGTTGGTTGCTGCCTCAGGAACGTTTATTTGAAGAACAGAGAGAAATAATTCTTAATCTGTAGTCCCTTGCTAATGCAAAGAGCACACCGAGAGGGGGACAAGGCCAAGGTTCAATGGCAGAAGAGACGTTTTGTATTTGTGCTATGGTACCTCCACCTTAACAATCTCAGGGAGCCGTGCTGAGACAGACCCTTCCCTGAGACTCAACTTCTCATCACAACATAGGCAAAATGTGTAAAACGATTTCATAGGTTCAACCCTTAAGAAGTTTCCAGAAGCACAGCATCCCGGTCCTGTCATGAGGCCCTTTCTAGTGCCCGGAGTCTAAAAGTATGAGGTAATTCCTGCTTGTGATCTCATATAGCTTTTACATTTGTTCCCCAGCCTTCCTCCACAGGAGCTCAATACATGGATCTCCACTCTTCCCTCAGTTTATCCTCACAACAATCTTGCGAAGTCAGTTGGGCTGAGATAAAATGACTGGCCCAAGGTTTCTTCAGGGGGGATTTCCTGTTCCGCATGCGTTTTGCTCCCTCTGGTGGTCCATTTGCTATCACACAAGTTTTTGTCCAGCATAAAAACCTAGAGTTTAAACCTGCAAGGAGATATGCCAGACATAAACCTGTCTGATATCGAATCAACCACTAGAGAGTGTACGACATGTGTGGAAAAGAACAGGAACTTACAAGCAAGGAAATTGAGAATGCAGAAAAGCCCAAGTATTCATTTTAGTAGCTTTATTTGATTTGGAAACCGTTAAATTGAAAATCCTGAGAACCACACAGAGGGTGGGTTTGGAAAAATCTAAACACAAAGAAATGAAGAACGGCTGTGGAACAGCAGGCTATGGAGAAATGATGGTGGGGACGATTACTAATTTTATGATGTGCTAATCAGTGCACACAGGTCAACATTGCAACAGTTGCTCAATGGTATGGATCTTGTTAAATACAGACATTGCGCCAGCCACACAGGCATCTATGTTTCATTAGAGGATACATAACTGAAAGTGTTTACCTTCTTTGAAAAGCTACAGTGTTTATTTAATGGCTTCCCAACATGAAGCCTGGTAGACATGAAGCAATAAAATGGCTGGATGTAGCCTTCGGAAAGACCTAGTGTTTATCCATAAAAACAAAATTATACCTCTTCCTACAATTATCACTACGCCGAAGAATAGATTCTTTTGAACTATGGTGCTGGAGAAGACTCTTGAGAGTCCCTTGGACTGCAAGAAGATCAAATCAGTCAATCCTAAAAGAAATCAACCCTGACTGTTCCCTGGAAGGCCAGATAATGAAAATGAAGTTCAAATACTTTGGCCACCAAATGAGAAGGGAGCACTCACTGGAGAAGACCCTGATGCTGGGAAAGATTGAAGGTCAAAGAAGACGGGGACGGCAAAGGATGAGATGGTTAGACAGTGTCAGAGATGCAACGAACATGAAACTGAGCAAACTTCAGAGGACAGCGGAAGACAGGAGGGCCTGGCAGGATCTAGTCCATGGGGTTGCGAAGAGTCGGACTCGACTGTGCGACTGAACAACAACAACAATTATCATGGGAACAAGGTACGGATGCATCTATCTGGCATGAATTGTTTTGATTAGCTGCCTAGGGAGGAATAAGCTGCCTAGGAAAGTGGCGAGCTCCTCCTCCCTGGCAGTCTTTAAGCAGCGTCTGGACAAACCCTTGTCAGGGGTGCTCAAGGCTGATCCTGCACTGAGGAGGGGGTGGGACTAGATGGCCTCATTGGCCCCTTCCAACTCTGTGATTCTATGGTTCTATGATTATGTTAAGGGTATGATCTCTACACATGGACATCACCAGATGGGCAACACCGAAATCAGATTGACTATATAATTTGCAGTCAAAGATGGAGAAGCTCTATCCAGTCAGTAAAAACAAGACCTGGAGCTGACTGTGGTTCAGATCATGAGCTACTCATTGCAAAATTCAGACTTAAACTGAAGAAAATTGGGAAAACCACTAAGCCATTCAGGTTTGACCTAGATCGCATCCCTGATGAATATACAGTAGAGGTGAAGAATAGATTCAAGGGTCTAGATTTGATAGATAGAGTGCCAGAAGAACTATGGACGGAGGTTCGTGACATTGTACAGGAGGCAGCAATCACCACCATCCCAAAGAAAAAGAAATGCAAGAAAGCAAAGTGGCTTTCTGATGAGGCTTTACAAATAGCAGAGGAAAGAAGGAAAGCGAAAGGCAAAGGCGAAAAGGAAAGATTTACCCAACTGAATGCAGATTTCCAGAGAACAGCAAGGAGAGATAAGGAGGCCCTCCTGAATGAACAATGCAAAGTAATAGAGGAAAACAATAGAATGGGAAGGACTAGAGATCTCTTCAAGAAAATTGGATAAATCAAGGGAGCGTTCCATGCAAAGATGGCCATGATGAAGGATAAAAACGGTAGGGACCTAACAGAAGCAGAAGAGATTAGGAAAAGATGGCAAGAATACACAGAAGAACTATACAAGAAAGACCTCGATGTCCTTGACAACCACGACGGTATAATCACTGACCTCGAGCCAGACATCCTGGAATGTGAAGTTAAATGGGCCTTAGAAAGCATTACTAACAACAAAGCTAGTGGAGGTGATGGTATCCCAGCTGAGCTATTCAAAGTCTTAGAAGAGGATGCTGTTAAAGTTCTGCACTCCATTTGCCAGCAAATTTGGAAAACGCAACAGTGGCCACAGGATTGGAAAAGGTCAGTATACATTCCCAATCCCAAAGAAGGGCAATGCCAAGGAATGTTCAAACTATCGCACAATTGCACTCATATCACACGCTAGCAAGGTCATGCTCAAGATCCTACAAGCTAGGCTTCAACAGTACGTGGATAGAGAACTACCAGAAGTACAAGCTGGGTTTCGAAGAGGTAGAGGAACGAGAGATCATATTGCCAACATTCGCTGGATTATGGAGAAAGCAAGAGAGTACCAGAAAAATATCTACTTCTGCTTCATTGACTATGCTAAAGCCTTTGACTGTGTGGATCACAACAAACTATGGCAGGTCCTTAAAGAGATGGGAGTACCAGACCACCTCACATGTCTCTTGAGAAACCTGTATAAGGGCCAAGAAGCGACAGTTAGAACCGGATACGGAACAACTGATTGGTTCAGCATAGGAAAAGGAGTACGACAAGGATGTATACTGTCACCTTGCTTATTTAATATATATGCAGAGTACATCATGCGAAATGCTGGCCTGGATGAATCACAAGCGGGAATTAAGATTGCTGGGGAAAAGATCAACAACCTCAGATATGCAGATGATACCACTCTAATGGCTGAAAGTGAAAAGGATCTAAAGAGCCTCTTGCTCAGAGTAAAAGAGGAGAGCGCAAAAGTGGGCTTGAAGCTCAACATCAAAAAAACTAAGATCATGGCATCCGGCCCCATCACTCCTTGGCAAATAGAAGGGGAAGTCGTGGAAGTAGTGACAGACTTCACGTTCCTGGGATCCCAGATCACCGCAGACTGTGACTGCAGCCATGAAATTAAAAGACGCCTGCTCCTTGGGAGGAAAGCGATGGCGAACCTAAACAGCATGATAAAAAGTAGAGACATCACCCTGCCAACAAAAGTCCGCATGGTCAAAGCAATGGTATTCCCAGTAGTCATGTATGGCTGCGAGAGCTGGACTATAAGGAAGGCCGAGCGCCGAAGAATAGATTCTTTTGAACTATGGTGCTGGAGAAGACTCTTGAGAGTCCCTTGGACTGCAAGAAGAACAAATCAGTCAATCCTCAAAGAAATCAACCCTGACTGTTCCCTGGAAGGCCAGATAATGAAACTGAAGCTCAAATACTTTGGCCACCAAATGAGAAGGGAGCACTCACTGGAGAAGACCCTGATGCTGGGAAAGATTGAAGGTCAAAGAAGACGGGGACGGCAAAGGATGAGATGGTTAGACAGTGTCA